AAATTTTAAATGCTTTATCTCGGTGGTTGATTACTAACAGAAAGGCTAATATTCTCTTAAAAAATCAAGACAGAATAGAAGTAATGGAATCCAATATGAGTGACATTGTGGATGGTCTTAGGAGCAACGGTGATGTAGCGTTCTCTCATTGTATTTCTGGTGATCTAAGCAGTCCTAGAAATATGACAGCTGGTGTTGCTGTTTCTTTCCGAAAAGCGTTTGGTAGACCAAGGACCGCCAATCTACTTAATAAGTACTTAACACTACAAGAACATGAAAACGGAGCAGCAGTGTATGGTGTTGTAACCAAGGCAACATACAATGGTAAACCAAAGACAAATGATTACAACACAGCCTTCAGTAAATTAATAGATGATTTCAAGCTAAGGAAATACAAGAGACTTGTGTGTTCACCCATGGGGTGTGTCAGGGATAATATTAGTGTTCAAAATTTTGTGAAAAACTTAGTAAAATTGCATCGTATCACTGGGAAGCCAGTTACAGTAATAATACAGGATGAAGAATCAAGTAGAACTTTGCAAAATGGATTGAGCTACCAGGAATTTAAAAATAGTATACGAGAAGAGCTTTATAAATGGATAAATATGAACACTCAATCTGTTTCTTTCCCTGGTCCTTGTATAATGGCAACAACCTCTACTCTATCACATTCCCTGAACACTATTCACACCCATCATACAACTTCAACCAGCAATCTGGGCTCAATAGAGCCAACTCCAGTGGATGATAGGATGAAGCAGCCAGCGACAATGTCCAAGAATCCTACAACTCTGCAATCTCAAGAGACTGCTAATTGCCAATCACCCCTTGCTGCTGTTGGTTCTGGTCATGATGTCACAATTGGCTCAATGGTGGACTTCCCCCCTCTACAAGCACCCCCTGTTACACCAGATCCAGATCAGCTGCAGCGGCCTGCGCCTGTGTCAAGTGATGGGGGGCAGATTCTCTCTGGGGTTGTGAGTGATAGTGGCTCTGGTTTTTTATTGGAAACTCCAATACAAGTGATAGCAACATGATTTGTAATGGCGACTCCCGCTCCCACTTTAAACCCATCAGTAATAATAATCTCAACAAAAACGTACAAACAGAAAAAAATGTAATAAAAATATTCCATCAAAATATTCAGCACTTACCATCAAGGATCGAACCTTTATTAGTGACTATAAATGAATTAACTCCTCATATTGTAATCTTAACAGAACACGATATGAAGGAAAATGAAATTAACAGACTCAATATACAAGATTATGATGTAAACAATTTTTATTGTAGAAAAACATGTTTCAAGGGTGGCGTCGTTATGCTTTCCCTGAAGGGTTTAAAGTGGAAGCGGGTGGATGTTCCAAATTGGTTGTCTGGTAGTTTACTTCAAGATAAGCAATTCGAATTTTGTGCCTGTAGCTATATAATTGACGGATTTAAAATTTTGGCAATTGGAGTGTATAGGTCACCTAGCTCGGATTGTGAAATATTTTTAGATAGATTGAGCATGTTAATTTCCCACTTTTCCAAAAAGTTTGTTAATATAATTTTGGGAGGGGATATAAACATTGATGTTTTAAAAAATAACCCTAATCATAAATTACTAAAAAGAACACTAAAAGTTCATAAAATGAGGTATCTGGTCAATTTCCCAACCAGAGTTACTGAGGAATCTGAATCAGCAATTGATAACTTTATAATTAAAAACTGTCATGATTGCAAGGTGACTGTTGAGGGAATTGTAACTTGTCTATCAGATCATGATGGCAATTGCTCCTTATAAAAAATAAAAACCTAAATAATACAAAAGAGGTTCAATCAACTATAAAACGTACAACTCGTAACTTCAATATTCAAAATTTGAATTTATTTAAAAACCTCTTGGAAACTGAGATTTGGGAGAGTGTTTACATGGCTCCTGTTGAAAGAAAATATGATGAATTTTATAGTACATTTAAGCACTTTTTTGACATTTCGTTTCCCAAAATTACTGTAACTGAAAAGAAACGCAAAAAAAATTGGATCTCAGAAGACCTGAAAAATGAAAAAAAAGAACTACTACAATTGGCCTTAAAACTCCGTAGGAACAAAAATCCTGCCTTAAAATATGAGTTAAAACAAAACAAACTGAAATATAGGGCAAAATTAGTCAGAGCTAAAACAAATTATTTTGAAAATAAAATAAAAAAATCAGCCAATATACAAAAAACAGTATGGCAGATTATAAATTCTGAAGTTGGGAAAGGAAATGGAACAAAAAATAAAAATATTACTTTGAAAGAGGGAAATTGTAGCTTAAGTGATCCTAGAACTATTGCCAACATGTTCAACAATCATTTTACTAATGTTGATCAGGATGTCAGTGGCAACCAATGTGAGAGCAAGATTGAAAATCAAAGTCTTATTGAAAATGAGCAATGTATTAAAAGAGGTTTTGATTTTAAATTTATTGATGCGGGGGAGGTGGAAAAAGTAATTAACTCTTTAAAAAACAAACATTCTGTTGGACACGATGATGTCCCTATTAAAGTTATAAAGCATGCCAAAAAATGCCTGAGCCATATTTTAAGTCATTTAATAAATTCATCTTTTGTATCAGGAATTTTTCCAAATCAATTTAAAAAATCTAAAATAATACCAATTTATAAGAAAGACGACCTAGAAACTGTGTCAAATTACCGTCCTATTTCTCTCCTACCAGTAATATCAAAAATTTATGAAAAAATTGTTAACTGTCAGTTATTAAATTATTTAGAAGAATTTAAACTATTAAACAATACTCAGCATGGATTTAGGTCTGGAAAATCTGTAATTACAGCAGCAGTGTCATTCATAGAATCTATAATTGAATCGGTTGATAAAGGGGAGTTCACAATTGGAATTTTCATGGACCTAACTAAGGCATTTGATAGTGTCAACCACACCCAACTGATAGATAAATTACTCATTTTAGGGGTTACAAAAAAATCAATAAAATGGTTTCAGTCATACCTAAATAATCGTTGTCAGCTTGTAGAAATCACACATAATCATGATAACAGAATTACAGCATTTTCTTCTGAAACTGAAAGGGTTAAATGTGGTGTACCCCAGGGGTCAATCCTTGGCCCCCTGTTGTTTTTATGTTATATAAATGATGCTGGTGGTACACTCTCATGTTTACCTCAGAACAATCTTTGTTTTTATGCAGACGATACAAATCTCAAAGTATCGGCTGAGTCAGTGCAACAAGTTGAAATTTTAAGTTTTGTTGAATTGACAAACATTGGAAACTTTCTAGAGCAAAATAAATTGAAGCTTAATCCTAAAAAAACTAATTTTTTAACTTTTAAAACAAATCAAAATAAAAAGTTAATTAAACCAAATATCATGTATAATGCAGAAGAAATTGAACACAAACACAGTACACAGTTTCTAGGTCTAACTGTGGACCAAAATTTAAACTGGGATGAACATGTTGATAAACTCCTTTCAAAATTATGTTCAGGACTATATTCACTCTCTAGAATGTCTTATTTTTGTAACCATAAAACATTAAAAAACATATATTATGCTAATGTCCATTCGCATTTATCCTATGGTTTGTGCCTTTATGGTTCAACTACAATAGCAAATGTGGATAGGATACTTAAACTTCAAAAAATAGCAATAAGAATAATTTTGAAATTAGAACACAATGAAACAACCAAAAACAAATTCAAAGAACTGAAAATTTTAACGGTATATGGCCAATATATTTACGACACAATTATTCTAGTAAAAAACTGCTTGAGCACCTCTGAGACAAATTATCACCCATACAACACTCGGCATAAAAAATTCCTTATTTCAAGTAAACATAAATTAAAATTCTATGAAAAAAAACCATCCTATATAGGATTAAAGTTTTTTAAGCATCTTCCTAATGAAATCAGAAATGAACAAAGCAGGAAGAATTTCATGAGAAAGCTAAAACTATATTTAGTAGAGAAAGCATTCTATTCCCTGGAAGAGTATTTTTCCACCTCCCCTCTTAGCGTTAGTACATAATTGATTCAGTTTTGATTATTTCCATTTCCTGATTCTTGGTTTTTTATTTAGATAATGATCCAAGATATGCAAATCTGTAAATTATTAATTTAAGATAGATTTAGTTGACACCATTCAATGTACAACACTGTACTTTATGAATAAAGCATATTTGATTTGATTTGATTTGAGTTATTTAGCTATTTGGTACCGGAAAACCGAGAACCCATAGAATTACAGTTAACAAGGAAATGGTGACGAAAAGTAAGGCTCGTCTTGCCAGTCTATGTAGGATGCCAAAACCTACAACATTCTCGGGAAATTTAAGCTTTCCGCTAGCGTCGCTCATGTCGCAACGCTTCTGTCGCTCACATAGGGAGGGGAAGGGACCTTAGTGCAACATTTCATTTTTTATTTATATGCATAAATAAGCAAGATCCTGAGCAAGAACTCAGAAAAGAAAATAATAACTTTTGAGAACAAAGTTTTGAGAACTATATATGGGCCAGTATGTGAAGATGGAGTATGGAGAATCCGCCACAACCGGGAGCTAAGAGAATTATTTCAAGACCCTGATATCATTGGAGAAGTTGTAGAAGATTAAGGTGGGTTGGCCATATCCTAAGGAGAAAGGAGGAGAGTCTACTGAAGATAGTACTCAGAGGAAATCCGAGGGGAAGAAGACCAATAGGTAGACCGAAAGCCAGGTGGTGGGGTCAAGTACGAAAAGATTTGGAAAGGATGAGGCTTGTAGAGGAAGATGCATGGGACCGAGACTATTGGCGACAGCGTGTTGGCGAGGCCAAGTACCAGCTAGGGTACAAGTGGCCATGGCAGTAAGTAAGTAAGCATAAATAAGCTTGCATGTGATATTAATTTCATTTCAACTGATTAGTGAAAAATGTATTCAAATTAAACCACATTGAAAATATCCTGATGAGAATAGATGCATATTCACAGTCGTAAAATTGTTTGTTTTTCTTCTATAGACATTGTAGTGGACAACTGCGCTATTTGCCGCAACCACATCATGGATCTCTGCATCGAGTGTCAAGCCAATCAAGCGTCGGCGACCAGTGAGGAATGCACAGTAGCCTGGGGAGTGTGCAATGTAAGTGTACATCTTCACTTTGAATCTGTAGTTATACCTCTTGTCCTGTTGTTAAATCAAATCTAAAGCTGTTTTGATGTGTTTCACGTACTGTAGGCCTATGCTCGATATTTTCATGTTGACTAATTCCTTCTTATTTTAGGGTAAAGTTTATAGTATCCTATGCTTTACTCGGAGGCTATAGAACTATTGATCAACAAATAGATACCGGTAGTTTAGTTCTATTTCGTCGTTTTAAAAGTGAACAAACTATGATGAGAACTTGTCATTACATTCAAACCGTTTTGGTAATTTAAATATATCCGGTACTTCTTTTAAATAACCTACCTTTTAAATGCACTCCAGATAAGGATGATGAACAAGGATAATAAACATATGATTGTGTGCCTTTAACCATAGAAAAATTGAATAAATATAGACCGTCAGCTGTGCTGCATTAGCATAAGTTCTGGCGTCGACCGCTAGGATTGCTGTGTAGTTACGGCACACACTGCTGCAGCGTCTGCTGGTAGCTACGACAAGGAGCCGACGACGGCAGCGAATCGAACACCGAGCGGCACATCGCGGAACCTTCCTTTGACAGTCTATATTTATTCTATTTGTCTATGCTTTAACTTATGACTATAGTTCGGCCGCTTAGAAAACGACCTGCGCGCTAATGCTAAACCAATGCTGGAGGAGGTCGCTTTCTAAGCGGCCGAACTATAGTCATTGATGCTCATTGTCAATACTGGATAATTGTATGTATTCAGACAGATTGAGATGTTATGAATGGGTGTAATAATGTATGAGAAGGTTTAACTTTAAATTTTTTGCAGCTTCAAATACTTAAAAAGAAAAGCAAACACCAGACAAGTAATCAAAGTTTTTAAAAATTGTGTCATTCTAGGTCATGTCAGCCTAGTAAAACCCCCAATATCTATGGTTAGAATTAGTAAAGGCAATGAATACTAACAGTTAGTAGTAGTATTGGTAACATTTAACTGCCAATTTATTAATTTTTTATCAGAATGTCTTCATAGATGTCTCATTATATAGTCCAGGAGCTGAGGGGGGTTGAGCATGCATGAAAGTAGTACACAATGTTATTGCTGATTATTGTAATATGGACTGTGGTGATCAAAATTACGTATGTCGCCTATTTCAAAAGTAGTCGATAAGGTGGGGGGGAGGGGGCAAACATGGCGGTTTGCGCTATGCGTTAAAACGCTGATATTTCGAAAACGGTAAAAGATAGAACATCGGTTAAAACGTCATTGTAATTCTAAAAATGTGGACTACAATAATGGTAATTGAGTCCGAGGTCGTATCTCTATAAATAAACAAGTTATTGTATAAAATATGTAAAAATTGACTTTTCGTGTAGTTTTTTTTTACCGAAAGTAGAATTAATTTGTGAGTGTCGCAAAGAAGTAATATCAAATATCTTTGCTGATAGTTGTAATATGGACTGTGGTGATAAAAAATACGCATGTCGCCTACTTTTCAGGTGGTCGTGAACTTGTGGGGAGGGGGGCAAAGATGGCGGAACGCGCTATGCATTGAAACGACTGTAGATCGATAACGGTACGAGATAGGACATCGGTTAAAACATAGTTTTAATCCAAAAAATATGGCCAATAGAAAAGGTTATTGGGTAAAAAGTTGTATCTTAACTAATAAAAAAGTTATAACAACAATAAGTTCACCAAAATCTACATTATACAGCTATTTTCTTCAAAAATCATATGAATTGTTGATAAAAAATAGTGTAGGAGGCCGTGTTTTACATTTTAAAGCAAATGTATTCGTAATAATATATTTTTTTCTTATAAGAAAATGCATCCAGTTAATATTTAGCCAAGTAATTAAGTAATTACACTATTTTTTATCAACAATTCATATGATTTTTGAAGAAAATAGCTGTATAATCTCATAATGTAGATTTTGATGAACTTATTGTTGTTATAACTTTTTTATTAGTTAAGATACAACTTTTTACCCAATAAACTTTTCTATTGGCCATATTTTTTGGATTAAAACTACGTTTTAACCGATGTCCTATCTCGTACCGTTATCGAGCTACAGTCGTTTCAATGCATAGCGCGTTCCGCCATCTTTGCCCCCCTCCCCCCAAGTTCACGACCACCTGAAAAGTAGGCGACATGCATATTTTTTATCACCACAGTCCATATTACAACTATCAGCAAAGATATTTGATATTACTTCTTTGCGACACTCACAAATTAATTCTACTTTCGGTAAAAAAAAACTACACGAAAAGTCAATTTTTACATATTTTATACAATAACTTGTTTATTTATAGAGATACGACCTCGGACTCAATTACCATTATTGTAGTCCACATTTTTAGAATTACAATGACGTTTTAACCGATGTTCTATCTTTTACCGTTTTCGAAATATCAGCGTTTTAACGCATAGCGCAAACCGCCATGTTTGCCCCCTCCCCCCCACCTTATCGACTACTTTTGAAATAGGCGACATACGTAATTTTGATCACCACAGTCCATATTACAATAATCAGCAATAACATTGCGTACTACTTTCATGCATGCTCAACCCCCCTCAGCTCCTGGACTAATAATCATAAGATCGTATGTAGTTTAATTACCCCCATCTTTTGTAAACTTAATAAATGGAACCTTCTAGAAGTATGATATGAGTTCTAAACCATACCGAGGTATAGTACCAACCTAAATTTATTTGAACCAGCATAATCAGGCATAATAATGGAGTAAAAAGTGTTTTTTCCTCCTTAAAACTATTTCTTTTAAAAAGGGGATGAATCTGACATTTTTAAGGAATTGGAAATTTGCTGAGTCTACAGGTTTGCTGCGGTGGGGAGGTATTTATTCATTTTTATTTTGGCAGCAAATCTATTACCAGGAAATTTATCAGCGATTGATGGTTCTATTGTGTAGGTATATCTGAGCATGATTTATGAATATTTAATATTTTTTTATAACCATTTCTTAAAAAAAAAAAAAGATTTTATCCTACAAACGTGTTTTTTATTTTTTTATTTTCAGCATGCATTTCACTTTCACTGCATTTCTCGGTGGTTGAAGACTCGGCAAGTTTGTCCCTTGGACAACAGAGAGTGGGAATTCCAGAAGTAAGTTTTGAATATTTTCTTTAATTAATTATATAAAAGACTGTACACCTGTACTATTATTGATTGCATTACATATTTAATTTATTATGTCCGTTAAAAAATGACTGTCTATTGCTAGTGCAAGTGCGCTTGTCTATTGGTAGTGTCGAAGGACTAAATAAATGATTCATATCTATTTCCTGAAATAATTCTTTTAGTTCTTGGATTCTCTTCATTCTACATCGGTATTCTTTTACCAGCCCTTGTAATTGCTCTTAATATTTAAGTTTTGAAAAGCTATTTAACGATGTTAATATTTTTTACTTTTTATAAACACCTCAATGCCGTAACTAACTAAGCTACTGGTCTTGTATGGTTTTGTAAATTTGTTCTGTGGTTCTTATTGATACATTTTTAATATTCAGAATAGTTAGAGTGCAAGAGCACCTACAGTATTTTCATTTAACATCGTTGACTCAATTTCTGCTTCTTCGTTGTTTCAGTTGATCATTATTGTAACTTCTAAATATACAATGTTTTGCAACTATTAAGTATAATTTGTCTCAGGGATTCCATTTACTTATAAAACTTGCTTGATATTATTTTTAAGCTATATAGTTTAAATATCTTTTACCTAATGACTGTTTTTTTCCCAGGTACGGCCACTAAATTCTTGTTGCAACTCCAAATCAAGGAAATTAAATGCGTCAAGATTAATATGTTTCTGAGTTTAAGATGTTTCCAAACAAAATTCACATTGTTATTCTAACCAAATGTTCTAGTATTTGAGACAACAGTAGTTTGTACAGTTTTTCATTAGTCATACAAAAATTTCATTACACATTCTTTGAAATAAATATGCATTTAGCATTTCTACTTTATATGTTTTCCTACTTATTCACTCATTTGTCTGCTGGAATTAATTCCTAACTGATAACTGTACTACAACTATACTACCGTTGTATAATAAATTTCTTTCTTTGTATGGTGTTATTCTGTTAATACAACCTAGAGATTGTGATACTGACTTTGCTGTACTTTGTTAGGGAAGTATTCCAAGGTATTTATGAGTCTACCGCCGTCATGGCAATAGCCAAATGGAAGTATAAAAAAAGTTAAACTTTTTAGGATTTGCTGACGATCTGGCTCTTCTAGCTAATAACATCCAAGAAACCAAGCAACAAATAAAATCACTTCAGGAAATAGCCCAGAGCATAGGTCTAAATAACATATGCAATACAATAATAATAATAAATAATACTTCCACAAATAACATATGCAAGTGAAACTATATTTAAAACAACTAACACTGTAGCAATAGATAAAATAGTAAAAATAGAAAGAAGAATCATCAGAACATGTATAAACAAAAAATATCAAAAAGATGGAGTTTGGAGACTGGCCTCTAATAATAAGGAAATAGAGCCATTGACAAGTATAATTAAAAAGAAAAGAATTTCATTCATTGGACATCTTTTAAGGACACCGGAAAATAGAATAAGCAAGAAAATAATTGACAAGTTGTGGAATAGCAAGAGTGACTTTAGGTGGATTACAGAGATTAAGGAGGACATGAGAAGGTTGAAAATATCATTAGAAGATTTGGAAAATAAATCAGAGGCGCTTGCAGTACTCAAAGAAAAAATATCATCCTGCCAATAGGAGCAAACAATCAGAGACAAGGAAGAGTGGTTTTGGAAGAAGAAAGAAAACAACGGTCGGAAAGAATGAAGAAGTATTAGGCGGACAAGAAGAAGAGACAGAATTTAAAAGGAATCTAACCATTATATTGACTTAAGTGGTCCAATGCTGGCCATAAAATAATAATAAATAAATAAAAAAATCCTTATCAAGTTAAGGAATGCAAAATGAAAATGTCTATTGAAATAAATGTCATCACTTTGCACAGAATATAGCTATTAGCGATGACTGCTAATATCAAAGAAGGTAAAGTTTCCCAAGCTCTAGAGCAAGGGAAAAACAATTAGCAGATTTCCCTCTCTCTAAATTTACTTTCCCTTGCTCTGAATTAACGTCAAAATTTTCCCAAAATGCGGACTAATAGTTCTTTACCACTCATTTATAGTAGTTTAAATCAGCTGTTTTTACTGTTCAACAACACAAAATGTAAACAGAAATGAAATAAGCATGGGTTAGTTTTGCTGTGTTTTTACTTTAAGAGTCGGCTAGTTTTTGCTGACCGGTGCTAGGACAACCACTGTTTAGCCTGGCGGTCAACAACAATGGACAATTTTTGACTCCTCGACTCAAGTGTGTGTTTACTGCACAATAAACATAACCTTTAACTGTTATTTCTTATGTTGTAGGTTGCTAAAACCTATTTGGTTTTTTAAATTGAAAAAATTTTAACTAGGACTATTATGGTTTTAATTTTCTTGTCATCTGTTATTCTGTACTAGCTGTTGTACCCGTGCTTTGCAACGGGAAGAGGACACAAAATAGAAACATTTTAATCTTTACAACTGTTGCATATAGGCCTAATAGTTACACATCCGCCAACGCTTTTAGAAACAAAACTCAACTTTTATGGCCTTAATAGAAACGTTTAAGTTATGACTTTTGAATCTGGTAAGTAGTGGATACCACCATTTTGGTTTTGATTAATTTTAAATCTTGTGTAGGCTGATATGAAAAAAACTGACCAAATCTTTGAATAACACTTTCACATACGATTTACCTTCATCTCCCTTAATTACATATCTTTTTATTTATAGTTTAAATTTTAAATTTCAATTTTGAAGTTGCAAAAATACTAATTATTTAATTTAAATGGACCTTTTTTAAATTTTACTCTTCTTCGTATTAAATATCAAATCCTTCCATCTTCAGTTTCCTCACTCACAACAAATCATTAGCAAAACTAAGTCAGCTGTTATAAACTTTAGAAATATTGTTGTGCCTTATCAATACAGTCTTTTGAAATATTAAAGAAACTATATCTATACTATACAAAATTTTAAACAAATAATTTATCATTAAAGACAGCAGACAAAACTAATATGATTATCAAAGCGTCGAGGACTAAAAAATGTAATAGCAAATACTGTATATGTTTCATTGCATCTCTGATTCTACTCTACAAAAATATCAACAAACAACTTAATATACAAACTAGTTCTTTGAATCAGTTCCATCGTCCATTGCCTTTAAATTTTCACACTTACCATTAAGTAAACATAGTAACAGATATTAAATTGATTTTAGAAACAAAAGAACACTGTGTACTGCTTAGTTTTATGATATTTTCCTTGGTTTAATTTTATCAGTGGTGTGGCAAAACACAAATAATAAATTTATCAAATAAAATAAATGTGAACTGAAAGCTATGTTAAGATAAAATAAGAGTATTTTGTATTACCATTTGAAAATTAAATATACTTACACATATACAACAGATTTTAGAACACAATAACTAAATTTACCTAAATATACATATAAAAAACAATGTGATGTGCAAGTTATGTTAAGTTCATCCAACACATGTTAAGCAGTTCGAATTTATTTAAAGTAGCCTCCAAAATTCATACAAAACATCTATACATTGTAATTGTTATACTGTTTCCATGAAAACATAACAATAACATTATTTTCATAACTGAGACGCTTTAAAAAATCCAAAGCAGAGCCGGAGTTTTTACAGCAACGGTTATAGAATCTTTTTTTTATAATCATTGACAGTTTTAGAATAAATAATCCATGATAAAACGTTAGATTAAAATAAACCTACCTCATAGTTATGGAAAATATTATATTTAACTTCTTTGTATCAGCTGTCTTAAATTGTGCAATATGCAATTTAGCAGTTCTCCTTGTTAACATTGAAATGTCAAAGCAATGTAAACAAACATTATTAGTGTTCTATTCACAGCCATGGAGACCAATCAATATTTACTTTTAAAATCCTCAGCTCAGAACTTTTAAAGCCAAAGGGGCAAAGCCTACGGTCAGTATCGAAATGTGAATAGTCCTATAATGGTCCTTGGTATGTTAGCTATATTTTTGTAAAATCTAAGCCCAGTTGGTTCAGTAGTTTTTACACCTATTAGTAATACACATACAGAAAGACACCATTAGATTTTTATATAATAGTATAGATGTGAATATTTTTGGCTTCATGATCAAAACAAAAGTATTGTTCATAACTTTTGTACCAGTGATTTCCCAACACTTAGTACAATTATTCCCATGCTTCACCACACTTCGTTTGTGGGGCTTCACCTCTCACGTGAAATGTGATGTACTCCATTTCTGGCAATTAAGCAATTACCATGTGCCACACAGGAAAATGTCACTTTCAGTAGGAATGAAATTTACTATTTGTATTAGTAACTTCTGACTTCAGCTTTACAGTAGTGTTCTGAGAACTGCAATTCCAGAAGTCTTTATGTTTCAACTTCCAGCATTATGACCATAATAAAGAAACTATTTTCCTTTTTCATATTTTATCATTACAACAAAATTTACCAAAGCACAAATGCCAAATGGACTTATAAAGATTGTGAAAATTTAAGAGGGGGTTAACCAATCGGGCAGGTACCCTTTCCATGTGCTCTTTTATTGTTTAACTAGCTGGCCCGACAGACGTCGTCCTGTCTAATGTGGTTTTGTATTAAATACTCGTTAAATACAGGTTGAAGTTCGTTCGCTACGCTCACTCACCTTTTTTGCTGCAAATTAGCTGTCATTAATTTAAAAAATAATAGTGCTGCACCCTGTTGGTAATTTTATTAACTTTTAGCGAATTTCCCATATAGGGAACAAGCTATTACCGTAGTACTCATGGTAAGACCTGGACCCGGGACCAATTTACTTTTTCGTTTGAGGTCCCTAGAGGCCAAAAACACCATCCGTTCAAATTCATATATATATATTTATATATGTGTCCGTTAGCGCGATAACTCGAGCAAAACTCATTCGATTTTGATGAAATTTGGTACAAACGTGTAAACCTACGTTTAAGACGGTGACACACTATCGATCTTTTCCCCGAACAAGACCCCGAACCGAGCAGGGAGAAGGGAGAAGGGAGGTCGAAGGGAGGATGTTCGATAGTGTGTCACGGGTCCGTACACCGATCAAGACGCCGAACAAGACATCAGGCCGAGCAGGGAGACGAGCGCTCTGGAGGCGGTTTTTTGGCGAAAGATCAAAGAAAAGATCGGTCCGATGTACGGTCCGATGTACGATAGTGTGTCACGGTACATTTTTGCCCCGTACATCGTCGCGAGCGCCGCACCGAGCGGCCGCCTGCGCTAGCATTGATAGTTCCGCGCTCTCACTCGCACACACTCTCTATCTCTCTCCAAACTTCCTTTGCCGCGCTCGGTAGAATTCGTCTGGTCTTGGTCATGTTCGGGGAAATGTTCGGAGTAAAATTTTGCTGATATTTATCTCCCTTCTCCCTTCTCCCTGCTCGGTTCGGGGTCTTGATCGGGGAAAAGATCGATAGTGTGTCACCGCCTTTATTCGAACCAGCATGATCCGACTATGGGTTTATGGGGTAAAAATTGGGTTTTCCCATTTTTAACCCTAAAAACTTAAAATTTAATATTTTCTTTCCAAACCATTTTGTAGAGCTTAAAAAAACAAATAATTTAGTGTATTGAAGCAGGAAGCGTTATTATGCGCCTAATGGTTACGGAGAAAATTCCAAAAAACTGTAAATTTAAAATTCCCATGTTATTCTTATGGAGAATAAGTAAACTGTTGTAGTTTGCTTGTTTATGAACATATTTTGATCAAATTTGGAAAATGCATTCATTTCATTCTAAACTATTAACATTTTACAAAAAAAAACAAAAACAAAAAAACACATATTTACCCTCCCTGTTGCAGCAAACCTGAGTACTCGTTAACTTATCGTTATTTAAATAGGGAATAAATGTGATATTTTTAAGGAGACATTTTTGTGTAAATCCAATCAAGCAAATGGAAATTCGCTTAGTCTGCAGGTTTGCTGCGGCGGGGGTATTTAATGCTATTGAACATCACAGAATCAAATTGTTTAGTTGGACCAGCTGTTAAGATTGTTTGGATTTAAAATATTGAGTTGAAAGTTAAGATTGAAAGGTTAGTTAGTCTCCACTCCACCCATACAGTAAATTCTAAAACAGGGAAGAGTGTTGTTAGGATAAAACTCATTTACTTTTTTTAACCGACTTCCCCACTACCAACAAAAGGAGGAGGTTCTCAATTTGTTTGTGGCGATGTTTTTTTTTTCTATGTATGTTCACCAATAATTTCTCTGTGATTCTTTTACCGATCAGTGTGGTTCCACCACCAAAATAACCAGGAGAGTTTCTATTTGGTACCTTATATATTATGTTTAAGTATAATATTTGTTTCGGTGAAAAATTCTGAAAACCTTAAATATTCAACATTTATTTTGTTTACATTTGTGCAGATTGTTTACATTTGTGCAGAGAAGGCAATAAATAATAATAACATTCCTACAGCTGTTAGTTGAAACCATTTAAATGAAGCTACAGACATTTCTTCATGAAACAGTTGCTTCATATTGATCAATAAACTATTTCTTGCCATGGAGCCTAAATGAATTACATTGAGAAAAATGCATTTTGTTTTGGTTACTATAAAAAATGTATTTTATCGTTTGACCTGATTTGTGTATACAGTAATTCTGTTTTTATCAGTATTGAATAAATAAATAAATAAATAAATAAATAAATATATCTTTATTGTCACATAAACGTTTTACAGATTACATAGCATAAGCTACAAAAACAGGTGACATTGTCAATATAATCATATATCATAATAAGTACCTAAAATACTAAAAAATAAACAATGGTTCTTACAAATAATTATTTGGGTTATTTTATAAAACATAATAAGTTTATTTGCTAATTTAAAAATTACCATCATTCAAAAAATTCGTCAATACTATAATATATTTTGTTTACAAGAAATGAGGCAAGGCTGCTTTTAAAAGACGTTTTGTTTATTAAATCTTTATATTTTGGTTGCAGTTTATTAAACAATTTCTTTCCCATATATTTTGGTGTTTTTTCTATTAATTTTAATCGGTGAATCGGAAACTGAAAATTCTTTTTGAAACGGGTGTTATATGGATGGTCACAATTCTCCGCACATAAGTTTTCAAAATTTGACTGTACCATTAATAAGGATTTAAAAATGATTAAACTTGGTACAGTCATTATATTAAGTTCTTTAAAAATTGGTCTACATGATTGTTTTCGTTTAGCAAATGTCATTATTCTTAAGTATTTTTTTTGAACTTTAAAAATCTTTTCTATTTCTGATGAGAATCCCCAAAATTCAATCCCATAATGCAATATTGAATAAAAATAGGCATAATATATCATTAAACGTGTTTTCATATCCAAAATATTTCTCAAACAAAGCATTTGGAAACAGGCAGAATTAAGCTTATGTAATATGTTTTCAATGCACTTGGCCCAGGTTAAATTTGAATCAACATACAAACCTAAAAATTTTGTACATTTGACAGTTTTGGTTCTTGTTTTATGTGTGAAATTTCGGGATTGTATCGTATTAAATTTTACTAGTTGTGTTTTTTCTGGATTTAATTTTAGTCCGTTTATTTCAAACCACCTTCTAAGATCCATTAAAGCGTCTTCTACTTTCACCCATAAATCATCCTCCGTTTTAGCTTTAACAACAGCAGTTGTGTCATCTGCATACAGTATTAAATTATGAGAAATATTTTCAGGTAAGTCATTTATATAAATTAAGAAAAGAAGAGGACCTAAAATAGAGCCCTGTGGGACACCTACTCTAATTTCACTCCATTCAGATTTTGACTGCAAGCCTCCTTTTAAAATAACAGTTCTTTGAAATCTACCTGTTATATAAGATTTCAACCATGAAATAGATTTCTTGGAAAATCCATAAATTTCCAGTTTTTTCAAAAGAATGTCATGGTTGACACAATCAAAAGCCTTGGATAAATCACAAAACACAAAAATATTCTGACTTACAAAAACATATATGTTTCAGTGAATAGCTGTATGATATTGACAAATAAAGGTGTATTGTGAAAACCAATTCATTCGTAAAACAGGTCTAAATTTTAATTAAATGCAATTATTCCTTACACGACCTAAGAAGTGTGACAGTGCATAATCGTCAATTGTCTTAAAAGTGTTAAATATTTTAATTACTAAACCTGCATTTGCAGATGTGGAATGTTAATTGATATTCTCTACACAAGTTACTATATCATACCAATACTATTACCGGTATGCCTGCTTCGGAAAGTCCTAGAGGAAGATGATTTGCAATTTCGACTAGGCTATATCTTGATCAAACAAAACCACCTACATGGCTTGCACCACCTTTAGCTGAACCAATCTTTCATGTACATATTTCATTTGCAGATGTGGAATGTTTATTTATATTCTCTACCCAGTTACTATAACATATCAATACTATTATGCCTGCTTCGGAAAGACCTAGAGTAAGATGATTTGCAATTTCGACTAGGCTATATCTTGAGCAAACAAACCCCCCTACATGACTTTAGCTGAACCAATCTTTCATATAGTATTTTCCAAAGGTACTGTACGTGTTAACGACCAATTTTCCACTTTTGAGAGATTTTTTAGTGCTGGTGGCTGAGGAATAACTTTCATATTGTTCCTAAAGACTTGAGACGTTACTGTATTTCTTTTTATAATGTAGAAGTACACCAATTGCAGGAAACGATGATGTCTGACATTTCAATGTATCTAGAAAAGACAATAAGTTGTTCATTAGGCCTAATGTAATGGACAACTCTTTCTTTCTTAAGGAATATCTAAAAATATTTATTTTCATACCCATTGATTATGTAACCTGAACAGGTGACTCAAGCAGTTTTAAAATAATATGATTGTTCGGTGGAACTTTTGATTGTTTCAAACAGTTTTGCTTATCAAAAAACCTCAAGTAATTAATACAAAAAAAATTATACAGTCACTAAAAATCATGAAATAATTTATATTTGTAAAAAAATACAACCGACTTCAAACGCTCTAAAAAGAATGAAATAATTTCAATAAAGTAAACTTTTGTTTTAGGCAAGCTCACGTATTTCAAGTCGGCGTGGCTCAAACTGCAAAAAATATGATTGAAATTAAATATTGTGTGTGTATTTTGAAAATCAATAAATTGTAGCTGGATAACATAAATATATAAAAAACATACTGAACTTTTTTGTTTATATATTAAAGGAAATATTTTCTGTTTACTTCAGAATAAATGCATTATGAAAATAACCCACACAAATGTTCTATATGAATAGGAAAATAATTTAGTTTGATATTATGATAGGGAAAAGAAGCTAGTTTAGTAGTAAAACGTTACTTTTCCAAGTTAGAAACATTTAAATGCGTTATAATCTTTTTAAAGATACTCGTTAATACCACTATTATGCCGATCTCTGATTACGGTAATAAAATAACACTTAACGCATAACTATGAAAAAGACATGCAGATTTAGTTATAGATAGACACCTGCAATATGGACACCCTCTTTCAATTTTGTATCAAAAATCATCATAGAGCCGCGCCGACTTAAAATACGTGAGCTTGCCTAAAACAAAAGTTTACTTTATTGAAATTATTTAATTCTTTTTAGAGCGTTTGAAGTCGGTTGTATTTTTTTACAAAAATAAATTATTATTCTACCCAATTAATTAAGTAATTAATTTTTCTAATTTTATGGTAACTGCCTTGAAAAATTCTTAACAAAAATAATATTTATTCAGAGATAACACAATGTGGTAAGAAGAATGGGCAAAAAATGTGACACAAGATTGTTTTAAAGTTTTTAATAAACTTTCAATATATGAAACAATGTATACTTTTGTAAATATTCATTCCTCTTTGGTTTTTCAAATGTGGATCTGACATGAACAGAAGTTGTACAAGATGTAAAATTCATAAATAGAAGTGAACGTCCAAAACTCGATTTTGTATCTATGTAATGCCCTATGGCACTAGGCCTACTGTACTACCAATATTACCAACGTTAATTCCAACATTGTCAAAATTGTCTACAACTTGAACTTGTTCATCCTAAATCCACAAATGTACACAGTGCAACATAACAATTGATTTACTGAAACAAAACACTATAACAAATAAAAAAATATAGTTAACGAAACAAAGCTTCATTGGTTTGGCGAAGGAACTTCATTCTAAATACTCTGATTGAATAACAAGAGTCCAAATTAGTGGACTTCAAAGGTGTTAAGTATATTTCTAGTAATACCCGTTATGAAAGAATATATTAACGTTTGCAACATTTAACACATTAAAAAAAACTTAGGCCAATACCTGATTATTTTTTTAAATTGGTTAAATTACAGTAAAACAGGTATTAATTGTAGACCATTAAACTGAGACTATAATGAAAAATTTAAATCAAGTGGGAAATAAGTTTTTCATCAGGAGTGTGGCTTGGGTGTCGGCCAATGGAATTTAATTGAAGAGACAAAAAGGATCTATTACTGTGATGGATATAGAGAGTACGCTATAGAAACAGCTGATTACTTCAAGAAGTAGATTTTGTGAATAAATAGATTCAGTTTAAAATGGATATGTTTTGTAAGATACAGTAGATATATTTTTATGAGAAAAAAAATAGGCTATTCAAATTGGCCTTGACCCTTTATTTCAGCCGGGTTTTACTGTAGATGGTATATTTTTACAGTTCACAATTAAGTAGGCTAGTACACAAACAAAAAATGACTAGAAATTAACAGATCGAATCTGTTAGCTAATTACGATGAAGATAAAAATGAGTTGACCCCAAATTACGAATAGAAACATAAATAGCCAGCCGTATTACAAACCCAAGCAAATGTTAATTTATTTTAAATGGTTTTACTGGAAACTACTAATTTGTTTGTTAGTTTTCAGTCAGAACAAGCAAATAAATGATGGAAATGCAAGTTTTAGTGATGTTATGTGGGCAAATTGTTACACAAAATTTGTTTTGGTTTCAATATTATAAAACCAAGCAATAAAATATAGTTTAATATTTTCATTTTGTACTTGCATTGTTTCTAAAACATAAAAATAATTACTGGTTATGACCAATGCACAAGAAAAGTAAATAATACGATTTATAAGCTTATTTATTGTAAAAAATTGAGTTGTATAAAATAAAAATAAAATATATATAGGTACTGTATTTTATATTAATGCACTGAAAGCTAAAATGAAATCAAATAGCCTACAGTACTTGATTAAATTGGTGGAATGCCTATATGCATTTTTTTATATCTAAAATTTTTCCAAAAGCAAGTATTAGCTTGATCTGTGACAACAATAAAAATTTCTTAAAATATTTCACAATACACCAAAATTCTAAGAAAATTAAAACTGTAAATATTTCTATAATGTGGGTTATAAATTAACCTTGTAAAGCAGAAATTCTGCTTAAATTTATCTAAAGAAATCAATATTAATCTTTTAAGCAAGTAAAATTAGTTCACTCAATTTGAAAAAAAAACCTACTTTTATGTTCAATGATTTTTTGAAGATAAAAGAATACTCGTTTGACCAAAAATCTATACGTAGCCTAATATGTAGGATTATTCCAAAATACAACAATAGGCATCTTCAAGCATGGATAACTTTGTTCTAAGAAAATAAGATTGCGATTTACCACAAACACTGAAATCACAAGTTTAAAATGACATAGATTTGTACAATCCATATACTCTTTTGATTTGACTAGTAAAAATAATGTACTTTAGACATACATTCAACCGTCCACACACTTCAGTTACAATTAATTCCAAGAAAATTGACAATGACTGTAAAGGTATATCACAAAGCATTGATACATTGTGTTTGAAACACCGTTCTTAAATCTAGTAAATACGCTTGATTCAACCGTTGACAAGTTTTTCAGCTGTTGTTGATGTTGGAACAACAACAATCGTTGAATCAGCATCAACACAAATCAGGTTGATCTACTTCATCATCAATCATGGCACCATCTTGTCTGCCTGTCCTCACAAAGCTAAAATGTTTATGGCAGGAAGGTTGTTGTTGATTGTTGTTCCACAACTGTTTACATCCCACCGGGTTTGGGCAAGTTTGTGTCGTACGCTCGAATAACTTCCGACTGAGCCACCGCTCCTCCTTCTTCTTGGGAAAATGCAAAACCATCTGAAAAGATTTAATAAATTATTATAACTGTTCAAAATTTGTCTTGATAACATAATCTCTGTGTGATTATGAAATATCAGGGGACCAGTTATGTCCCACTAGAAAAACAGGCCATGCTGCAGGAGCCATGACGTCACACTAGTGAATAGATTCACTGCCATAGCCCATTGGTTTTATGTAAATAAAGCTGGCTTTTTGTCAGATTTGTACCGTAAGATTTTAGTACAACTATCCACCACTCGTAGTGTTGCACTGCAGCATAGCCTGTTTTTCTAGCGGGGCCTTGGACAAGCGCACATGTTAATAAGGTTCATAACTTGTTTCCGAGGCAAAACTTAATAATGCAATGCTCTTTTACCTTTAAAGATCATGCTAGTTAAATTAGAGTTAGTAGGTAAATAAACATATTGGCGGCCACCTGTTTGAAATACATTTTCATAATCTGTTTCATCTCTTGTTTGTAATCAGACTGTGGTCATGAAGCACGTAAAACGAAGATCATTCCAATTCGATTTATTAGCACACTGATCAACTATTGTATTGATATTGTACTATTAGTATTGATCAACTAAAGAATCAGCTGTTTATTAATTACGATTCACTTTAGAATTGGTTTAAAAAAACCATTTGTCCCTCTGCTAGATCATATTAAGCTTTACAACAACACCTCATTAACATATTAACACCTATTAACAAGTTAATAAATCCCTTAGGGTAGGGGGTTTTGGTTTATAATTATTTTGTTTGATTTAACATAATAAAAGGGTCTACAAAGCATTAGCACCAATACAAAATAAAGTCGAAGGTAAATTATGAATAGAGTTAATGAATTTTAATTTTATTGTGTTGTTTTTATGGTTCATGTAAAAGGACTATTGTATTATTTTTTAAAACATTGGGTTTCCCTTGACTTGCAAAACACAAATCTACATTATTCTTATTCAACAATACCTAATTTGAAACTGATAGTGAAAGGTCATACAAAAACTAAACAATTTGTATAGAAATTCAATGATAGTGGAAATAATGAAACAACACATGTTCAAACAAGTAAATGAGCAAATTTTGCTAATATCTATCTATTTAAATAACTGTCAAAATCTACTAAAACAAACATTTAATTACGGTACTTGATATCTGAAAGGCAAAGTAGGCCTACATAATAAAAGATATTTGTTACCTTTTATACTTGATCTACAAAAGTATACCGAATGTAAACTCTATACTAACAGAATAAAACCTCTACAAAATCTAAAAAGGCCATTTTACCGTTCCCTATTTAATTTTGCAGACAGCTCTGAACAGCTTTCCTAAAAACAACCAAGTGTATTTTGCATATTTACAGGTGACACTTATACTATCTTTAATTGACGGCTATTCCCTCATTTAGGTTAAAAGTGGTGTGTGGCATCAACAATATGATAGCACAGCCTCCTATAATACAAGGGGCGTTGAGACAAAAGTGGCAATACTGCTGTCCCGGCAAACTGAAACAGCTGTTGCACTTATTTATAATGGAGCTTCTGAGCAATATTTACACATTTGTTATTACCGTAGCAACAGGCTGTTTGGTGCGGCCATGTATTAGAGGAGGCTATGATAATAATAGCATAGATAAAACATACTCCCTTAGTAGATTTCTCATCCTTATGGAACAGCTGAAGACAATTTTATTGTTAGTTCATGTACGGTTTATGTAGAGGTCGTGTTTTGTTTACAATTTGTTTCCCGTTATTACAGCCATTTAAAACCTCGTTTAACCAAATAATACGATCTAATCATAAACAATAACTTGTCCCCTAGTTATATAACCAAACAGTAAAGCACAAATCAAGAAATTAACCCTAAAATAATGGAAACAAAGTTTCATCGACACTAGCGCCTTTGTGTCACGTACATGAACTAGACACGAAAAACGTGCTTCAAAATTTACAATGGGATGAGAAGTCTACTTGTGTTGGTTAGTCTATGATAATAGTCATAGTGCACAAATAAAACATAAACAATTTTTTACTGAAAGATTTATAGATTTTTTTTATCACAGAATGTTACAACAGCTTTGATTTAGGAATACTATCACAAAGTAGATATTCCTCACTAATGTTAAAAGATGTAGCCAGTTATACAGTTAAAAATAGCTTAGTTTCATTGAACCACCAACAGAATGTGTTGCTGGAAAGTAACAATTTTTTTAAAACTACAAATATTTAATCCCATGAAACTGAGATGCTGACTTATTGTGAACTAGAATGACCTTTACATCCGCATTCAGAAGAATGATATTTTGTAGGAATAAAGGACTTAAGGAAGAGACTGATAGTTCGCCCTAATAGGAAGAGGGAGAAATGTTGTCCTATTAAAAGACTCTAGGAGAGAGACTTTGATAAAGGTCTTTACGAGAATAAAGATACTTTTTTCCTAATAAAGCATTTTAAAAGAAGAGGGGACTTATAGGATGACCGTGTCCTTTCACCTCTAGTATGTTGTGCCGGAAGTATACTTGTGGCAAAGAAGGCTCGCAACAGCGCGAGAACTGAGTGGAAATTTCTAATGCACGGGGGGGGGTCTTCCTCCACTGTGAGGGTTGTTGTATATGAGGGCGTGGGGTGGAGATGGACTTTGCTCTTACCCAAGCACTAGTGCTAGACACCCTTTGAGTATACCATCAAATTTGTTTCCTCTGTGCAACACACTCTGTTATTGGCTCATTTAATGACATTCAATTTTAATCAAAACTTGGCTTCAGCTGGTCTAAATAGACAGGATGTCTACTTCAGTATCCACAAGTCAAAGTAATTGCTAAACTAAAACATTTTAAACAATCCTTTGCCCAAATAAACACTGATGTCGATACTTACACCTGAGTTCAACCTCGGTATTTACACGGGAGGTGGTGGGGGTAGCTCGGAGGTTGAATACACTTCGAACATTCTTTAACAGACGAGCAGTCTCGGACATCCTGAAAGTCCAGGTTACTGTACAAATATCACCATGCCTGGCAGTAGGCTGCGTATTGCCATTGACTATGAACCCTCAATGGCACGTAAAAAGTCAAGTTGTAGCATTCCGTTTTGAGTTTCTTTTGTTGAAGGTTGCAAATGAGTATCATTATTTATACTCAATTGTTAAATGAGTTAAACTTAAAGACGGTAATTAAATGTTTCATTTAATTTTTTTTGTAGTTTGTTCCAATGGTTTTCCACGTAAAGAAAGAACAAGTAAAGATTGTTTCTGATATTTGGATAAATTTGTAAATGGTTTATCCACAAATCTACTATTTGAATGAACAAATGTATAAGGGAGTATGTTCAATATATCCTGTTGTCCGTCTTTTATTTCTTTTCTAAAAAAAAGAGGTTGGCAGCCATTTTTACCCTGCATTTGCCCGTCCACATGGGCCGCAGAGACCTGTGCGTGGAACGTATCCAGCAAAGCAAAGGATGAGCCAGTACAGTACAGATAGTTATTTAGTTAGTAATTAGTTAGTATATTATATGTATTTATTGTAGTGTACCTTATCATTAACATATTTGGCAGGACTCAGTTTTAGAGCTTTTGAATATCTAGTACTTATTTAATAAAACGCTTAATTAACAATCAAGCAAAAAATTATTTTTTCCCTTAAGAATCTTAAAACCAATTTACAGAAGAAGTCTTGAATATTCAACTTTAATCGGCAGCGGTATGTTCGGATTTAAGGAAAATAACAAGAAACATGTTAATACCATGGTATTAATTGTCTGTGTTGCCAAATATAATCAAAGCTGAATATGTTTGTTCATACCAAATTGAAATTGCATGCGATTTATTGGCACTTGATCGTCCATAGGAACATTAACGTGGCATGTTTGATTACCGAAGATCAGATGAACAAGACTCTATTGTATTGTTTAAAATGAACACAATTGTTTTAAAGGATGAATAATGTTTTGGTTACAATGTTTATCTTAAACATGACAAAAACATTATTTAATATGGTTTAAAAAAAAGGCTTAACTCAAAGCAGTGTGAGCCAGCTAGCAGAACAGTCTTTCGAAGTATAAAATTAAGTAAAAGAAGTTTCAATACGCAGTATAAAAATCGAAAAAGCTACAAGAATGAAGTACCTAAGCAATTGTTTTTGTAAATGAAATGAAACATCAAAATCATGACACACAACGATCATGCCAAAACACCAACGTCACCAACCAATTGTAAAATATCCTGCATGCTTAAAACATATCAGAATCAAAATTTAAAGGAGGTTTCAATCCTGAAATTTCACCCTATAATTAGTATGTGATACTGTTGTACCTATTGCTATTAAACTTATTGTGTATTGTATATTGTTGTATTGTCAATGAGTACTTAGCCCAGTCAATGAATGCAATAAAACACCCTTTTTCGCAACTAAATGGTGGAAAGCTGGATTTTTTATATGTGATAGAACCACACGAGAGGTGTATTTTCCCAAAAGTCCCCACTTCTACCCCTTGAGCTTGTGACGCAAAATTCTAGGGGGGGAATAAACTAGTATTCACCAAGTCAGGCTAGGCCTACCCCTAGAACCGGCCACACTCAAATTTCTTCCCCGGAGTGCTCAGAAGGAGCCGAGAAAAATCCAGGGGTCGATACGAAGGTGTCACGGCTTTGACTGATCAATTTATTTAAAATTTAATCGAAGGCTCAGAGCTCTAGAAGCGCTCAGGAAATCCTGCAGACGCTCAGTAGGAGCTATTTCATCCTCACCTTCGCTAACGTGTTTTGGAGAATTTTGCCTAACTTTTAGAATGACTCTGTAGGGCCGACGAGTATTCAATCTTAAGCCAATGTGATATAAATACTCGTATTAAACTGTAAACTATCTGGCTAAAGACGGTGGTGGATAATAAAATCGAATCTAATGTAAAAAGCAATTCCTACAGAGTCGTCGGGGCCTAATTAATACAATTGGACGGATAATTTAACGTGAGTGGTTTAAAATAAATTTAATACTAATTTTTGTAGCTGATTATTCAACTCAGCCTGCTCCCAAGACTCGATTCTTTCACCCGCCAAAGACGGGGTTTAGAACTCAGACGACGAGTCTCGGGGTATTAAAACGTCGAATTAACTGGAGTAACTTAAGTAATAATTTAATCGTGAAACGAACCGAATTAACGTAATTTAATAGCCAATTGGTTTAAAAGAGCCGAAAAATATCCACCGCTAGTCACTGGCAGGCAGGAACTGGCGGGTTTTGTACGAGTCGGCAAGAACTAAGTTAATAAAATTTAGAAAATTATAATCGAACGTAAACGGATAAAATAAATGGCAGACGAGTATGCGTATGTTGGAAAAAGAATATTTAAAAGAAAGTAGGAAAGTCTGAAAACGTAGCTAACCTGAATCGATATCGTATGACGAAGTTAGTTTCGTTGTGCGAAGAGGCTTCTCGTTAACGAGTCGACGGTCGAACAGCGAATAATCTTGTCCGGCTCAAATCATGATTTCCTCGGTCGAGGCTTAATCGCTCTGGTGGTGAGTTCGAGAACTAGCCAACAGCTGATCGGAAATTCACCTGTTGAGCCGGTCTAGTTGTCGTCTGTCGTTGGTCAACAAACACCATTTTGAGGTTAAGTGATGTTGTAATCGGCGTTAAATATTCGTAAAATCGGTCGTTTTAACTTTATTATGTGAAACGGAGTGCTATTATGAATAAATATGTAGTTGTGGGTGTGTTCGTGTACTTCACTGTTATCAAAAGTAGGCCTACGTTCTTTGGCCCATAGCCCAAGCTAGGGCCAACACATAGGCCTAGGATTAGGATGTTGTGGATAAAAATCGGGTAAGTAATGGTGTTTGTTGACTAGCAATACGTTTTTACCCCCCTTAAAATTTGGTACCTCACAAGCTTTCCCCCCCACCCCCCTCCAAACATAGAAATTGCAGTGTTTTACTTAATTGATCATAACTCCAATGCTATGTAAGCTATCGAGCTGCAATTTGTTTTGTTTTATTTCTGCTTAGTTTTCCTACAACTTTTGTATTTATAACATTTTTCTAAAACCAATACTTAGGGAGATATAAAATTTAAACTTCGTTCAAAGCTTTGTTTCATAGTGCAAAATTTTGTTTTTCTCTATTTATACTTTTAAATAGAAATAATTCGCGAATATGGTACGAACAAAAGTTTTAGTACGTTTTTTAAGGTTTACAAATATATAATTGGTTAGTCATCTAGGTGACCGGGTGAAGAGCTGGGCGTCGGCAAAGTGAGCGCGTGCGGGCTAGTTGAACACCGCTGCACTGCGTCATCGCATCTAGCCTAGCCAAAAAACGCACTAACTGCCTTTTTTCGTAGCTAAATAGTGGAAAGCTGAGTTTGTTATATGTGATGGAACCACTTAAGACGTGTATTTTCAAAAAGTTCCTGATTCTCCCCTTGAGCTTTTCCCCCCAACCCCTTCCAAACATGGAAATTACAGTCGTTCACTTTACTGGATATAATTCAAATTCTATGCATGCCATCGTAGTGAAATTTGATTTGTATTATTTATAATAAGTTTATCTACATCTTTTGTAAGATTTTCTAATAAAACTATATCCAAAGAAATATAAAATTTTAATTTTTTTTATAATGTTTATGTTTTAGCACAATTTCGTTTTACCCTCTATATATTTTTCCCGAATAAAATACGCAAAATGTTTCAAACAAAATTTTTAGTATGTTTCTTAACGTTTATAAATATATATTTGGTTAGTCATCTGAAAAAAAAAACTAATGTAGTGTGGGGTGTCGGCAAATAGAGAGCGCGTGCAGGCTTCTTCAAAGGATCCGCGCAGCTCAGCCCCGCCCGTCGATGCGTCGCGTTGTAGGCACCGACATCGCTAAGTACTGTAAGTTCTCAAAGGTTGTAAACAAATGCTAAGGCTTTGTACTTTGTACTTTACTACCAAAACAATCTGTATCCAAGCTTAACCGTGAACAGCAAAAACAATTATTATTTAGACGGAGGAACCCAATCATTTACTTTTTTATAACCAGTTTTGGTTCAGATAAATCAATCTCTACCTACTTACTTGTTACACTTGCGATACTTGTAATACTTGATTTCTTCATCTTTGACCAACGGAAGTATGATAGATTGGGGTATACAACACTAGGCCTAATAAACACATTAAAAATCACTATAAACATACTCTTTGCTCTTTCTTACGTTACAATGTTCTTTCCATTATCTACCACCAAAGGGACTCGCTTTGTTCCACCAAATTTATACTAACTGCTCCTCGCGATCAGTTAAGATCTAAACAGTAAACTGCAAAACATACTAATTAGATGAAACCTAATCATTTGTACATTTCTTAAATTTATTGTTATTTTTAACTCGTTCCTCATTTGAAATAATAATTTATTTAATTATTTCTGTAAACGGCTACACCTATTGACAATAATATACATGGATACATATTACATTACATAAAGTTGGGTAAGAAACATACTAAACCCAATGATGAGATGTCCCAATTCGGCTATGGGTCTGAGGATGATTGGAGTGTCGAATCGAAATCTACCACCACTTACCATCTTTTTTGTACAAGGTTATGTACTGTAAAATGTACTGTATATTTACAGTATTGTGAGTAGCATTATGAGTATAAATTTATGTTTTAAGTGTTAGGCTATTAGACGTATTTTCTTTTATTTACTTTCCAATTAATTAATGTAATAAGGCATATCCAAAAGCTATAAATAAGTAAGTAAAAAACTATATTTGTGTCCCTATACATGCAGGCAAGACTATTTACGGGATACATACAGACAGATTATTCAAATTTACTTTCTTAACATATTGTGTAGATGTGTCAATCAAATTGCGTTTTTTCGTAAAAATTGGCAGCAATGTATTACGAATCTGCTTTACGGCACTAATACGTGGTCGAGATAAATTATTTTTGGAGACTCTATACTGTGAATCTTGGTTATCTTAAAAATGA